CTCGAAGCGGACCAAGAGTTTTTGCGAGCCGCCAAGGACGTCCTAGGTAGAGTGGCGTCCGACGAGTTGGCCGAGTTTGGAGCGACACTCGCTAGAATCGCCGACAGGATGCGCGAAGGGGCCGCTCTCTTTGAAAAACATCGGGCCGTGTTGTCTGCGGCGTTTGCGGTCGGGAGAGATTTCCCCAACCACCTGACCAACTACTACTACCAGCGCGACTGTATGCCATTCGCCAAGACGTTGAACGCGGTTAGCGCGCAGGCCGGCCTCTACGACGAATTCGAGGCAATGCGCGACGGCAGAACGGTGTCGAAGGAGTCTCTAGCCGAAGTGTACGTGCCTCACGCCGAGACCCTGTTGTGTTCGTTGGCGGCTTACGAGGCACACGTTCGTAAGGTATTTACGGACGATGCCATCGATCACATGCGCAGAGCCAAGGAGCGAATGTCGCCCGTGCCTCTGGACGCGACCATCGGCAACGAGAACCTCAGGGCCGCAATCGTGCGTACCGGTGCGTTAAATAAATCGCAGTTGTCAGAACTGGAAGACAAGATCAGAGAAAGCTTAAATAGGACGCGGACCGTGATCGAAGAAGTGGGCCGCCTGACTACGTTCGGAGATCACTGGGGTTTTCTGACGGGAGTTGGTAGCGACTACACGGAAGACCGCCACGGGGTATTTGGATACGACGCGGCGTTGGAGACGACGCGCGGAACGCGGTCGCCCAAAGAGTGGCTCTCCACTCTGGCTACGGAAAGAGGTTACAACACGGCCGAGATAGTGCAACTCCTCAAAACGGTGTCGTCGGTAAAGAACTTGTACAACGAGATACTCGGCGTGTTTCCTCCGGAATTGTGTAGTCTGTATTATCGCGTAGTCAAGCAAGTGGTGCTCTCGGACGCCGATTACAGAGGCAGGGTTTTACACGCGGCCGAGGCCCTGGCAAAGATTCGAGCCAAACTGGGCGAGTCGTGCGACCCGAGTGCCTTTGCCAAAACGTTCGCAAATGTCAGAGACGCGGTCGACAGTATGAGGTTTCTTCTCGCGCACGTCGCTTGCGTTCGCACGATTGAAAAGACACAGACGGCTCTAAACGTGTTCTTTGGGCGCTTCCCCCCGCCGCCACTTCAGAGAGACGTTGAGATTCTTCGCAAGTACGCTCTGTTGGCGGCGGGCAACCACGAGCTGGCCGCCCTGGTGTGCGAAATAATGGAGAAGACCCTGAAGGACGCTCGGTCCAACGTTCCGCTCTTGAATTACGTGGACGATCACCCCGATCTGGACGAGTACTTTCTCGTCAGGGTCGTGGAAGCGGCCAAGACATTCGCGAAGCGGTCCACCGTCTGCGAGTGGTTTTTTCGGCGGATGCGCGAGTATTATTCGAAAGAAGAGTACGACACCATGATGACCTCTCATTCTCGGGCCTTCAATTACCGAAACGATTGGATCGACGTTAAACTCATGGCCACCGTGCTGGCCGAGGGCGTGGTTTGCGAACTGAACCCGACCGTGATCGAATTTATAAACGAGTTGCGGAAGGACGAGCGTAAGTTGTTAGGGCTCTTCGAGCGATACCGTGAGGCGGTGTCCACTTTTGAAAATTATAGGCTGGATTGGGCCGGCCTAATCAAGAGAGTCAGGCGGATGCCTCGCGAACGGATCCCGGGAACAGACTGGAGCGAGCGCGTCCATCCGAGCCTCGCGGCCAAACTCGCACAGGGAGACGCGGCGGTGAAACTGTTTGAGCTCGTGTGCGACGCCGAAACGGAAGAAGACGCAATGAGCTCCGTATTTAGAGAAACTTCTTCAAAAGACAATTTGGATTACGGGTCGGTGTTTCACGACATGGATCTGTGGACCACCGTGATCGAAAAGACTACCGCGATAGCCGAGCGGCTCTTGGACAAGCACGCGGACGTGTTTGGTTTTTTGGAGAGGCGCGAAGGTAGAGTATCGGCCGGGAACGAGGCCTCCGAGGTTGTGCTGCGTGCGATTGCGCGCGCCGCAAACACCTGGGTGGGCAAGCACTTGTGGCGAGAACTGGTGGCAGCCGAGCTCCTGAGGAAGCACGACTACGACGCGGACGTCGTGTTTAGACTTTACGGGAAACTCGTCTATTCCACCACGGGAAAGGAGTTTTCGAGCGGGGACGTACCCATCGATGTGTACGAGTTTCTCAAGGACAATGATCCGCCGACCGGGACTAGTCCCTCGATGGAAGTGTTTCGCATGATGCGTCCCGAAAATGTACACGGTAGCGAGCGGGTGTTGGGTTACCTTTATTCGCATCTCCTCTACGAAAAGACGAACCCAGCCCTAGTCAGAGTGTGGTTCTGGCTTCGCGGCGATAAGAGGAGTCTACAAGACTTTGTTCGCTACGCGTCTTTGGTCACAACCGACTGGACCCGCGTGCTACCCGAGGCGCTAAGATACTTCCGAAACGAGGGAACCCAGTGGGTAAACTTTACGATGCGCGTTTACACGGCCCTATGCATTTTGCGCGACAACGCCTGTCATATCGAGACCCTGATCACGAAAACGCCCATGTCGCATCGCGTTCGAGTCCTGATTGTGGAAGCAACGAGGCTCTCGCCACTCGAGGCCATTATGCGACACGACGGTGGCGCATCCAGCGTCTACGAGGTCGAGGAGTACGAGACCGCCGCCAGACGTTCGCAGACACGCTGCGACGACAATAGAGACTGGCTCCGCGACCTCCATTACATGCTAAACGTCGAGAAACAGTACGCAAAGTCTGCGTTTTACGAAAAAGTTGTGCGAACCGTGCCGATGGCGCAGCGCTTGTGGGACTATCTCCTCAATTCGTCAGACTACGAGGCAACTCTTCGCAATTTTAATCGCTTCGTTGCCGTGCACGGCCACTTTGACTTTCGTTCCCTAATCATAAAGTTGAAGACGCTACACGATGGCTGGCGAGAAGATATAGGCGTCGCTTGGTTACTCCGCGTAAAAAACAAACTCGAGTCCCTTCGCACCAACCCATACGTGTACGCCGATCCAGAAGAACGTAAATTTCTACATTTCGTTCTCTCGCACCCCCACTCTATCGAAGAACTCTTTAAAAGGGTCGACAGACCACTTCTAGTCTGGACCAGATTGGAAAAGAAACTTGGACCATATTTCGTTTGATTGCGATTTATTGTTATTATTCGTCGGGAGCGTCGACGTCTTCTCTTCCGTCAACCAGAGGGACGCAGGGCGGAGCGATCACCACAGGATTCAACAGTCTGGCGGGCACGCGGAAGTCGTAGTATCCCTTGTCCGAAATTGCAGCCACAAAGTCCCTCACGTTGTCCGGCCGCGACAGGTCACAATACATTCTGAGATAGTCCAGTGTCTTGGAACGAGTCGTTCGCTCCATCAAGAGACTCTTCACCTCGGGGAGCGCCAGTGCCCAGAATCGTTCACTTAATCTATAGTCCGTCACAGTCTTTCGGATGAAATCCTCGTTCTTGAGCATTCGGAGGAAGAAGCAGTGCGGCGAGTGCCGAGCGTGAAGCACCCAGGGGTCTTCTTCTTCGTTGAAGTTTCCCATCCACGCCTGCACTCCGCAATAAAAGCAGGTGACATCTCCTTCGGCTGTCTCGCATTCTCTCATAAAGAATCCGGCGTTTACAAACTCTTTGTAGTACTTGGAATACCTTCCAAATGACGCCATTCTCTCCACAACGTTGCACATGGTGGGGTGAACTGGTGACTCGGAGACTATTGGGTCGAAATCCACAAACAGCCTTGGGTCCCGATACGTCTTGATAAATTTGCATTCTGGAGATGCGGCGGCGTGAAGTTTATGTGGATGCACCCACATTCGCAATGCCGAGGCGTCGGAGTTTGAGAGTCTCAGGTATTCGTCTGTCACAACGAGGTTGCAATCTTGGCAGAAATTTACCCCGAGGAGGCGACGGAAGCCGGCAAATGCCATACACCTAGGTGTCGGGTATCGCATTTGGCAACCCTCGAAAGTTCGGAACCTTGCAATTACGTCCTGCATCTTGGTCGGTGCTAGTCGTCGTAGTGTCTACTCGCAGTAGTAGTCGTGTCGTGATATGGGGGAGAGGGTAGGGTTAGCTTTGCTGTAGGTGCAAGCGTTGTTAGTAGTACGGCTAGTTAGATATATATATACTAAAGGGGGCGTTGCAATCCGCTCACGTCAGTAAGTACACAAAATATAATTTTAAGTGGAGGGGGGAGGAGCAAACCAACAATCTTGTGTGGATTTTGACCTTTGTTACTAAGAGCGCTCTTGCTACAGGCTGATAGTTGTATGGGGGGAGGGTGAGGGGGAGGGGGCGTGGACAGTCTGAGGTATCTTACCCGTTCTGAGTAAGTGTTTGCTACAGGCTGATAGTTGTATAGGGAGGGGGGGGGGGGGTATGTGGAGGAGGAAAGTGGAAAGTCTAAGGGCATCTTGCCCCCTTTGTAACTAAGAGTGTTTTAACCTTCGTGTTGCATGGGGACGCTAACTTTGAAGACAAAAATTTAGGTAGAAACAAAAACACCCCCTTTAATATTTTCTGACTAAGAGTGTTTTAACCTTCGTGTTGCGTGGGGACGCTAACTTTGAAGACAAAAATTTAGGTAGAAACAAAAACACCCCTTTAATATTTTCTGACTAAGAGTGTTTTAACCTTCGTGTTGCGTGGGGACGCTAACTTTGAAGACAAAAATTTAGGTAGAAACAAAAACACCCCTTTAATATTTTCTGACTAAGAGTGTTTTAACCTTCGTGTTGCGTGGGGACGCTAACTTTGAAGACAAAAATTTAGGTAGAAACAAAAACACCCCTTTAATATTTTCTGACTAAGAGTGTTTTAACCTTCGTGTTGCTTGGGACGCTCAATTTGAAGACAAAAATTTAGGTAGAAACAAAAACACCCCTTTAATATTTTCTGACTAAGAGTGTTTTAACCTTCGTGCTGCGTGGGGACGCTAACTTTGAAGACAAAAATTTAGGTAGAAACAAAAACACCCCTTTAATATTTTTGACTTTTAGAATGAAGAGTGTTGAACCATAGTGTTGCTAAGGGTGGTGGTAATGACCAGGGAAAGTTAAAAAGTTGACAAGACAATGGATATGAAGTAGTTTCAATTTCAGCTTAAACAAAGTGACTCATAGAAGGGATTATATAAATGAGAACATTTTCGTGCTAGTCGTATCAGCAAGCCAGCACAGGACAGACACTGTAAGTTTCGTCTCAAAATGTTTTCTAGAAATTAATTTATCTTCAAAGTCTGGTGGTGGGTGTTCGTGAGAGATTTTGGGGGTTAATGGCGCAAAAGCTACGAGGCCATCTGCGCCAAACTAATTGTAAGGATCATTATACTAAAGGAAAAGTTTTACAAAAGATTGATCAAAGGGTTAGAGTCGCTGTAAAAGACCAATACTACTAAGAGGGAAATGAATGCGGCGCTTGGCTTGAAGGTCGGGATAGAGTCACAAGATATGCAAAACAGTGAGCCTATTACCACACTGATAACGGTCGAGTGTTCGTGGAACTGATCTTACATTCACGCGAGTCTTATTGCCAAGGTCAGATGTCGAGTGGTAACGCGAGATGGAAATATGCAAGGTCGGTTGTTATTCAAAGTCTGGTGTCGGGTGTTCGACAAGATATGCAAAACAGTGAGCCTATTACGACACTGATAACTGTCGAGTGTTCGTGGAACTGATCTTGCATTCACGCGAGTCTCATCGCCAAGGTCAGATGTCGAGCGGTAACGCGATATGCAAATATGCAAGGTTGCTTGTTATTCGAGTGGTTTGTGACGTCAATGCTACTAATAGCTCGCCGCCAGAGAGTCACATGGGCTGTGAGATGGGGGGTCTTAGTGAGGTATAAAACGGGCGACACACGACCCACCGACTACTAGCCTACCCTCTCCCTCGCAGCAACGACAGGAGTACTACAACTACTACTGGAAGACATGGAGTCCAGGCGATTTCCAATGCCGACGGCACGACTAGAAGCTCCGGGCCATCATCTGAAGACGCCGGTGAAAGCAAAATTCAATCATTCGACCATACCAGCCTCGACAAGTGTGAAAGTATTTGAAAGTTTGAAGCGAAAGAAAATGACCAAGGATAAAGTGAAATTCATTCCCGGCGTCGTTCCGAGGACGTGGAAGGAGATGCCGCAAGACTACGACATCCTAACGGTACCGGTGAAACCATCTCCTTCTCTTATCATTTTATTAATTCATTTCGCCATGTGGTCCATAGCTACTCTGGACAATTCTCCCGTTGATTCTTTAAGGCATTTATTCATCGATTACCTTAACGAAGAGGTGGCCCGCGTGATGAGCGAGAGACATGTAACGAAGGAATTGTTAAAGTTTCTCGAGGATTCTGTAGCGTCGGCCCCCTATTCCGTTTGGTTGCCGGTGGACGGAGACGCCAGTGAAAATTGGGTATTTTATCGTGGCGCACGTGAAAAACCTAAACACGTGGTGCAACCTCTTTTGCTTACTCACTATCAAGGGTACGAATGCAATCGCGCCCACGTTGTTTTAAATATGTTTAACGGCTACAAGGGTAAAGTATTTTATCCTTATAGCTACGCGTTCAGCCACGATAACAGAGATAAAACTAATAAGGTAATTCTCCTACAATATTTCATCTTACCAGCGCTAACGTCGTTGACGATGCGCCGAGAACTCGCAGAGTTTATTGGCTTAAGTATTAATATTGAAAAGGATAGGGCCCTTATGGTAAATTACATCTGCGAATCCATTAAAACATTGGTGTATAAATCTGTGTTTTTTTATTCGTCGGAATTTAATCAATGCGTGAATGTAATTGCAAATATTGAAAGTCGGAAAATGACGGATAGAAAAAAATCTAAATTGGCGCAACTCATGGAGTATCCGAGCATTTTGACCGATCCATGGGTTTACATCTCCGGGGCCGGCCTATCAATTGGGGACTTTGATGTTGCAGAATTCTCTAGAGGACTTTTTTACTCCACGGAGTACGAGTCTGTCGCTCGGGAGACATCGGAATTAATGACATCTTTATTTTTTTATGTATTGTATGTTATTATTGAAAAACGGCGGGTGTGGGATTGTCGCCTCGTTGTCGAATCTAAAAACGAATCTATCCTAGCGGCCTTTTATAACTTAATATCGGACCTCCTGCGACCATTCAATTGTAACGCTTCCGCCACATGTTCATCTGTAGTAATACGTCATAACATGGCGTCGCAGGAGGACCTAAATTACGGCCGCCTGGATAATTATGATGCTCTTAAAACTCCGAAGAACATTAAGGCTTTGAAAACCTTTCTTGGTTTCTCCTGCGTGACCGAATATACCAAAGTAGTGACCAAAATTTCTCAAAAGTCTAGTCGCCGCGTCTTCGTTATGCACCTTTGCAATTTCGAAGACGAGGCGACCGTCGAAGCATTTGTGAAAAAATATTTCGATGTGACCACTCTGTGGCCATTCGTCCTCGGTCTCTTCATTTATTTCAGTACGAGGGAGGACGAGGTGCTGACCGAGGAATTGCTCGACCTATGGTCGAAGCAATGTCCGACCCTCCTGGCCACGTCGATGAACGTGGCCAATACCATGATGCCCAGCAGGTTTTTCAAAAACGCTTCTATCATGGACACGGTTCGGACAACGATTGGCTTCCAGCAACCTGTTGCTGAGTCGACGCCTACCGGCGACGAACAGCGATTGGTATTTGCCACGTTGTCTAGCCAGGAGGTGTTTGAAGGGATCGAGGACGACTCGATTAGTAGCCCGGACTCCGCGAAAAAATCCGAAAGCGTCCAATCTGGCAACAAAGACTCTTATTCGGACGATGACGAATTGGATATTGCAACCGAGATGGTATTGAAGAACGCAGGAGTGCCAAAATCCAAAATTGATTCGTCGGACAGCGAGGACGAAGAAATCGTGCGGTACACCTCTTCTTTCAGGAAACGGAAGAATTGTCTAGACTCCGATTCTGACAGCGGACCGATTCCAAAGAAACCTGTATATTATTCTGAAAACGAAATTATTGATATCGACTCGGATGATGACCAGAACGGATCTTCATTGACATCATCTCCGGATTCTCTAATTAGGCCCATTGTGAAACGTCGGAGACAAATTTTATCCGAGTCAACGGATGACGAAATGGTTGAAGCCCAAAAAAGTATAAGTCCGTTCTGGTCGGACGAGCCGTCAACGCCAATACCAGAAAGTCCCTGGCTGTCAGATTCGGACTGCTCTTCTTTCACCGGACCGGTGGTATCGTCTTCCGCGGTTAACGCGGAATCATTCACCCCCTCACCCAAGTCTCCGACCCTGCCGCCATTAACGCCACTACCAGAGAGTCCGAAGCTCTGGGAGTGTTCGTCCTTCACCGGACCAGCGGCATCTCCTTCCACGAGCAACTCGGAAGTATTATCATTTTCGCCCGAACTTCCGATCGTGCCGGAGGCATCGCCCAGCGCTGAACCGCTCCTGCAAGAGCCCGAGTCCGATCTGCCACACCCATCTCCATCACCATCAAGCCCGCGGCTCGAGCTCTCAATTTCTCCACAGTTCAGGACGTCGCCGTCGCAGCTCATACTGCCGCCGTCACCAGAGACTCTGTATCCAAGATCGCCGGCGCCGGTGCCAGAGACTCTACTTTCACCGGTGCCGGTACCGCAGACTGTAGATACATTGCCGGTGCCAGTTCCAGAGACTCTGTTTCCATCACTGCTGGTGCCACAGACTCTACACACAAGATTACCGGTGCCGTTGACAGAGACTGTGCTTTCATCACTACTGGTGTCACAGACTCTACATACAGGATCACCGGTGCCGGTGCCAGAGACTGTGCCTTCATCAGTGCCGGTGCCAGAGACTGTGCCTTCATCAGTGCCGGTGCCAGAGACTGTGCCTTCATCAGTGCCGGTGCCAGAGACTGTGCCTTCATCAGTGCCGGTACCAGAGACTGTGCCTTCATCAGTGCCGGTGCCAGAGACTGTGCCTTCATCAGTGCCGGTGCCAGAGACTGTGCCTTCATCAGTGCCGGTGCCAGAGACTGTGCCTTCATCAGTGCCGGTACCAGAGACTGTGCCTTCATCAGTGCCGGTACCAGAGACTGTGCCTTCATCGGTGCCGGTGCCAGAGACTGTCTTCCCAAGAGTGCCACTGTCGGCGCCAGAGGCTGTGCTCCCATCACTGCCAATGTTGATGCCACACACTGTGTATACAACATTGCCAGTGCCGACAGCACAGACCCTCTTTCCGACAATGTCACTGGCGGAGGCAGAAACTCTCTATCCAACAGTGCCAGTGCCGACAGCACAGACCCTCTTTCCGACAGTGCCAGTGGCGCAGGCGCAGACCCTCTCTCCGACAGTGCCAGTGGCGCAGGCACAGGCTCTCTCTCCGACAGTGCCAGTGGCGCAGGCGCAGACCCTCTCTCCGACAGTGCCAGTGGCGCAGGCACAGACTCTCTCTCCGACAGTGCCAGTGCCGACAGCACAGACCCTCTTTCCGACAATGTCACTGGCGGAGGCAGAGACTCTTTATCCAACAGTGCCAGTGCCGACAGCACAGACCCTCTTTCCGACAGTGCCACTGGCGGAGGCAGAGACTCTTTTTCCAACAGTGCCAGTGCCGACAGCACAGACCCTCTTTCCGACAGTGCCAGTGGCGCAGGCAGAGACTCTCTCTCCAACAGTGCCAGTGCCGACACCACAGGATGTCTTTCCGACAGTGCCAGTGGCGGAGGCACAGACCGTGCTCCCAACATTACCAATACCAGCGACGTGGGTGCATGGTCAAGATGCGCTAGTGGCACCGCAGTCTGTGCGATTTATACCCTCGTCAATGTCGGCGCTGCGGCACTGCGATGAAGTGCACGTCCCATTTACGTGGCATCAGGAACAAGTACCGGCGGCGGCGGCGGCGGCGGTACCCACCACTCATTCTGAATTATCGAATGACCATCGGCAGACGATGTCGGCAGATATTTATTCATCATCGCTTCACTCTGGATTTTGTCCACCATCGCTGCAATCGGCATTTAGTCCACCGATGGCTCATCACCTTTCTAAGGCAGTTTTTGGAGATGACTCCTCCTCGACATGGTCTGAGGCGAGCGAAGACTCTAATTCGTTATTACGTCAATTGCTGACAGCACCGCTTAAAAAGAATACGTATTTTTCACCGATGCAGAGCGCATTTCAAGCTCTGTCAAAATTGTCGGAAGTGGAACCGTGCTCTACCCCGTCCTTTTCCTCGAAGGAGCAGCTGGAAAGGAAATACGAGTCTGTTACCACTTTACAACAACTAGTGGCCATCACAGTAAACGACGACGTTCCAGTCACTCCTTCGAGCGTTACGGGTGAAGATATGACAGACGATGACGTGGCAATGGTAGCCCACCTGATTGATTCGGTCTACAAAAAAGACTCTAAAAGCGACAAAGTAGAAAATTTCTTTGAAACTGCTCTGCATCAGGCCATGTGTGAATACAATTGCCAACACGAAGGAGACGAAGAAGAAGAGGAGGAGGTCAAAAGACTGCTTGTGGACCTGGTGAATAAGGTGGTGGTGAAAGTTGCGAGGGAGACTGAAGAGCTCGACGAGGAGGTCATCCTCCCACCGAAAAGTGAGTGTACATATATAACTCCTTGTTGTATCTTTTTTTTTCTAGCAGAGTGTATCTGATGGGATGGAAGATCCGACGCGTCTCGTAAAAATCGGGATGCTATTAAAAGAACGTCCTAGACCGCCTCGGCGAGTAAGACCGTCTAGAACGAGGAAAGAGACTGGTCTTTAATTTGTATATATTCCTTTATTTACAGGTCACAAGATTCCATCCTTGCAGGAGCAGCGGAACAAGACCATGTCTCTTTATGACGAAATACAAGAATATATAGACAGTTTAGATTATGAGGTGTAAATAAAAATTGTACATATACCGTATCTCTTTGTCTACCTGTGGTGATTACTTTGTCAAGAGACGAAGTTCGTTATAGAGGGTGACTAGCCTCATGCGTGACTTGCCCTTGACCTGCAGTAGTCTAGTCAGGAGCCGAATAGTGTTTAGCGAAAAGGTGTGCTTATAGCGAATAAAGATCGGGTTGTAGTTTAGATCGCTAAAGTCTCGTATCTGTTGGAAGCTGCGAAAGGGATACTCGTGAAAGAGGAGTCTAAAGAATAAGAGACCCAGAGTCCAGACAGCCGACGCTTCGGGAAGATACTCGTGCTCTAGGAACCATTCGGGCGGCGCATATTCGAGAGTTCCGCAAAAGGAGGTTCTTGGTTTGTCCGAGTCGCGGAGAACAAAATCAAAGTCGATGAGCTTGATGTCTCCGGTGTCGATGTCGACGAGCACATTTTCTTCTTTGACGTCGCAGTGGAGCAGGCCAAAGAGTAGCCAGCAGTCGTAGACGATTCTGACTATCTTGATGAAAAGTAGAATGGCTTCGCGTTCGCGAAGTCTGTAGCAGTCGAGGTACTCTGCGAGGGTAACGTCGTTTTCGGAACGCTCGGTCACGATGACGTATGGTCCACCGCGGTCGATTTTGAACCAGTCGTACATGTAAATTGCACCCGAAATTAGTCTGACCTTGAGGAGGTTGGAGACTTCCATGGGGACGCGATATTCCGACCAGTGCCAGACCATGGTCGAGTCGATGCATTTTGTAGCGACCGGAGTGTTGTCGGAGATGCGTCTGCCGGCGTAGACCTTTCCGAAGCCGCCCTTGCCCAGTCTGTAGGTCGTGTCGACGTCGTAGCCTCGTTTGGCCAGCTCGAATTCGAGATTAATCATCGTAGAGGGAATAGACGCAGTAAACGTTTTTGCTCACGAAAACGTCACCGAGAAACGTTTTTTCTATATGTCCGTCGGTCAGCTTGCGCTCTATGTAGACGTTATCATTGTAGGCCGAGTTTAGGATGTTGCGAACGTCGCCACCCGTTTGAATGCTGTAGATCACCTTTATCTGGTGGTGAATGCCGAGCACGTTGGGTAAGTAGCGCGTGGACATGGTAGTGATGGGTGGAGGTGCGATTTTTATGCGTGCAATTGAAATGGCGTAGGGTGGGTTAAATGACTAGACGACTGCGCTGTCTTGTTGATCCCAATCGTCTATTTCCTCAGACGGATCTTCTTCTTCTTCTTCTTCTTCTTCGTCTTCGCTTTTGTTGAAATGCATTTTTATGTAATGTTCTTTGAGCCAATCGATGAAGGCGCCGATGGTCCGAATGTCTTCCGTTTTGCTCTCGTCCTTGTGGAAGATGACGGAGTTTTCGATAAAGACGGGAGAAGAAACCGCTGGTGGTAGCGTTATGTGTGGTAAGATGGATTCGCGAATGACCTTAGCAATCGAGGCCGCCTGATCTCGTAGTTCTTCCGAGACCACGACCGTGCTGCCATCGGTCTCTGACTCCTCGACGACGTAGTATTTATGAACCTCCTCCATTTGACGCGATATCACTATCTTGCGGAGAGACTTGATGCGAAGAGGGAGTTTTTTCTACACACTACAAAAATAATAATCGGGCATGAAGTGCGTGTTCTTAGGCAAGGGGTCGTATGCTAAAGTGTACAGGCTCGTGTTCAACAAGGACCAGAGTGTGGTGATAAAAGTGAGTAAGAACAAGGGGAGCGAGATATACGCCGAGTATACGATCCTCTCGGTTTTGAGGAAATGCGGAATAAGCGAGGGTATACCCCAGTGCCTGAGTAAAATAGCTTTCGACAAGGGCGCGGCGATAATATTTGCCGACTCGGTGAGTAGGCCCCTAGACCGGATACTATATCACGACAAGAGCTCGATAAACTTTAGAAGCGTTTTTAAGCAAGTGTTTCGCACGTTACACGCGTGCGTGCAAAAATGCAATGTCTTTCACTGTGACATAAAGCCAAACAACGTCGTAGTGAACGCCGACATGCAGTGTACGGTCATAGACTGGGGCGGTGCCTACCTGGCTCCCGCTATACACAAACCGAGCGTTTCGGATCCGGCTGCCGTTAGGACGACCATGGCGTATTCGTCACCGGAGGTCGTGGCCATATATTGCGGCAGCCGCAAGACGAGTTACAATCCGGAACTCCTCATGACATGGAGCCTGGGAGTCTTTCTGTACGAACTTTATTTCCGCAAAATACTCTTTCAACGACCCAAAGAAGAGCTGCTTCCCAGTGGAATAGTCGGGGCCTCCAAGGAAACGATTCGTAAACTCGAGTCAAAGATCACCAAGGCTGTGTACTCGGCGCCGGTGGACGTGGCCGAATTGATTTGGCTCTGCTTGGCCCCGTTGCCCGAGGAGAGATGTAGATTGGTGGACATTGAGACGTACCTCGTCAAGGCAGGTTATTGACGGCCAACAAGGAATTTACGATATAGTGCGAGTTGCAGCTGGTCGTTTCTCGCACCAGGCCTCCGTCCGAGTCGACAAAGAAGCTGGTCCCGTTGATTCGCAGGACGACACCCGCGTCGAAATCGACGCATTTGGAGTACACGTCCTCGGTTCCGTTGACAAAGTAGGGTATCCCGAACCGTGCGAAGAATTGGCCCGACACGTACTTGGCCGCTCCGCCGACGTTGCAGACGGGCGGGTAAACGAATCCGTCGTGATCGGCGTCGCACACAGAGTAGGTTTCCAGCACCGAGAGGCCGTCGAGAGTGAATTGGACCGAGCGACGCCAGTATCCACCTTCGCCAGTGCAGACGATGGAGCGCACCATGTTTTCTATCGAGTTGCAAGACATGATGAATTGCTGCACGGGGCGCAGACCGTCCCAGAGACAGTCGGAGAGCCACGCGCACGCCACGTCTCCGTTACCGCCACCACCATTGTTGTCGAAAACACAAACGCCGACGTCTTTGCACATGTGTACGTAGTTTCGCGAATAGAAATTTACTATGGACGGACCGATGCATCCGAGTGCCTGAAGCAAGTGAACCGACGTGGCCTTGGCTCCGGAGTTGATCATCACGGATAGCGTATCCCTTTCGTCCAAGACGCTCATCACCGAAGACGTGATCTTCTGCCAGTAATAAACCATGTCTTTGGTGTCTTTAAAGTGCTCCGGTATTTTTCCAAACTCGGCCTTAAAGAGTTTGCTGCAGCGATTCATTTCCTGCGCAGACAAATCAAAGCCGTACTGCGTCATAAAGTCGTCGCAGAGACGCGTCACGCACCCCCTGTGGCGTAGGTAGTCTTCTTCGTACCCCTTACATATCCTGACCGCGAACGCATTAAATCGATTCGTCGTCTTTTTGGTCCACGGGGACTTTCCAAAGGCCTCCGTGATTTTCTCGAAGGTCCAGGGGAATCGTGGCTTGACAGGCGACGCGCCAAACATCCACTCGTACGTGATGTGCTCAAACAGCTGCCGATAGGTCCGCGGCGGCCTCGTGGAGATTGAGCGAACACGGCGCAAATAGTCTACGAAGGCGTCGTCCAGAGGTTCGTCTGGCCACGAAGTCAAGACAAATATCGCCATCACCGTATTGTACGAACACTTTATTATGCCCATTCCGTTAATTTCGGAAAATAAGAGGACGGGTAAGGAGTTTAGGATGGCGTCGGGCTCGCAGGGCTTGTAGCTGGTCGAAGAGACGTACAGCGTCATTTCGTCCCCGTCGTAGTCTTGGTTAAAGGAGCCGCTGAGTTCGTGGTGGATGCTAAGGACCAGTAGATTGTCGTCGTCGTACGGCACCGGTTGAATGAGCTGCATTCCCGACGAGTATAGAGTCGGGTGCCTGCAGAGGAACACGTCCTTGTTCCGCACGTAGTTGTACACCTTGGGGGGCACGCCGACTTGCCACAGGTCAATGTCGGTGTCGCACACTATGACTCCGCGCACCGTGTAGATGGGTCTGGTGCCTCCGTACATTTGTCTAAAGAGACCCTTTTTGTGCGCCAAGACGTCCAGCATGGACATGTGAATGCGTCCGCCAGAAAAGATGTTGTTGGTGACCGAGCCGTTGCATCGGTTGGAGGCGACGTCCCTCCGTATGTCGTCCGACGGGATCATGGCGTTGTTGTTTGTGGACACGCTCATATACATGGTGTTAGATACGGACGAGGCCGCGTCGTTGCTGCCGCTTCCGCCGGAAGGCAAGGACGAAGAGCAGCCGGTGCTTTTACTGCCGACGACTTTGCCTATGGCCATGTTGTGAATCATCGTGACGATCTTTGTCTTTATCTCGGGAGCTACGACGGGCACGTTGTCGGACGAGATTTCTACGGAGCTGATGAGCTTGTTTAGGATCGGATAGTACTCGCAAAGCCTGTAGACGGTCTTTGGCTTGGACGTGTGATTCTTTTGGGAGGTAGAGTTGACCATGGCGTTTAAAGATCTAGACTCGTAGGTGATCTGAGAATGAATCAGCTGCTGCAAGTTCTTATCCTTCATAAATTCTAGGCGCGCGCACGGAGGTCTCACCACCAGGTATCTGGAAGTGTAGCGCTCGTACTGGTCGGGATATGCGATGCGAAACGCTTCGACGGCGGCCGGCGATGCTACGTCTTTGATATTCAGCATGGAATGAACTTTACCCACGCACAGGGGTAGAATGTAGCGAAATCCCAAGTCGACCAGCGCGGGGTGGCCCGGGCACCTCGTGTTGTTTTGTTTGCACATGTCACAAATGTCCTCTGGAGAATCGTACATGTTTAAGCCAAAGTATTTCGAATCGTAGAGACGAGCCAGGATAGCGTTGTTGCCGAGCTTGGTCTCTCCGCACAGTTCTCGCACGTCGAACATGATGCGGATCGTTCCGCTGCGTATACTCTCTTCTATCACATCGTCAGTCAGAACAAAGAGCGTCAGGTGCGTGTCCGGCATCACGCGAGGATGGGCTTCTTGCTGTCGCTACAGTTAAAGTATAGCTCGTCCTCTTCTTCGAAACCACTGTCTCTATGCGCGAAATGCTTGTATTTCGAAGGAACGATATTATCGGTCGCATTGTCTTTGGCGGTTCGGTTTTTTACGAACATGAAACAGGCGACGTAGAAGTATATCTCGCTGACGATCAGGACAAACACGAGCAGGGTGGTTGTGGCGTACAGCGTGTAGCTAAAGGACGGAAGGAAGGTTTCGCAAAACTCTTCCGCGTCGTATCCACACAACGGAACACTGTCACCGGGCCATATTGATGTGACGTCAATGCACACCGGTGTTCGCTTCACTGTGTACGTTTGACAGAGTACCTCGGTCCTGTTGAATATGTAGAAGACGACCACGTTGAGTGCTCCGTTTAATAGTACGTATACGAAGTAGCAGATTGCGAGAAATGTCAAAGAGGCAAAGGATCGTTCTTCTTTGAATTCGTAATAGCTTGCGTATGTACTAATACAGACGATGGCTATAGTTATGATAAAGCCGAGGCTGTTGTATATCTGTATGCGTAAGCTAATGGGATCGGAGTTATTTGAGCGTGTCTCTATGTAGTTTGTCTGGTTCCACATCATAATGCCGCATATCATCCATAATATAGAGACGATGAAGAACAGGCAACTCAGCGCACGAAACCGGCAAGCAGACGTAGACATGTTTCCAGCTAAAGCGTACTAGTAACAGTAAAGCGTGGGTTTTTTTTAATACTCGGTATTCTTGGAATTCATATAGTTGTATAACTTGTTTTGGATTTGAAGCTCCAAGTCCTCACATACGTCCTTTTTAAAGAGGAGGCGTATCGCGGACAAGATCATTGACGCGTTCATGGTCTGGCGATTGGACATATGGACCAATTGACTTGTTTTGTCACACACCTCGTTCAACGTGTCGTGCATAAAATCGTTCACGATGTCGGCTGCCTGGGCATCGATCGAACAATCGTACTTATCCTTGGTGTATTTCCTGATGTAGTAATGAAAATCTCGTCTCTTCATGATGGAATATATAACTCGATAGATATCCAAACCGTGCACAGATTGGTTTTTTACAGACATGGCGAAGGAGTCGACGCAATCTGAGACCAGGAGTCAAAAGTTCAAGCTCATAATACCCCGTGGGCGCATTCACGGAATCCTCTTGGATCGAATGTACACGTGGAGGACTAGCACTACTGCGACGGTGGCATTGTCGACTATAATGGAATATGTCATGACCGCCGCAATCGGAAGAGCCCAATTTCACATGAAGCAAGAGAATAAGGATAAGATAGACGTCCAAGACATGCTTGAATTTTATCCCATATTCAATAACAAGGAAGTCATACTAAACACCTTTCGTAGAAAAGTAGTTCAGCGGAAAAAGAAATCGAGCGGGAAACGCAAAGACGTCGAAGCGAGAAAGCGTTAACCTTTGAATTTCTTTCAGATTGGCGCGCTGTGCGGGGCATGCGCGCAGCGTGTGTTTCAATAAAAGCCGAATCACGGGAGATTTCACACCAACGTCTATGTCACGCCTCAATTTGTTCTCGGCATTAAATATCTCTTCGTAGAACTCGCCGTCTATCCATCGTTCGTTGAGGGCGGCAATTTCCCTACAGGCACCCGCGCCGAGTGGAAAGACAAACTCGCGCTCGAGCAAGTATTCGTATGTCAGGCGACCAAACTGCCACGAAACAATCTTTTCGTAGTCTAGCGAGTCGGGCACCGAGTGCCGTAGTTCGGGCGGTCTGGACGCGTCGTTGTCATACTCGTCCGGTTCGACGACGTACTCGTAGTTTTGCAGGTAAATGCTCCGATGCCAGTCAAAGACAAAGACTTTACGACGGTCGAGCTTGCTGACATGAACCATTTCTAGCGAAAGGTTAACGTGATACACCTGCCTCTCGGCACAAAACAGCATGCAGTCCAGGACCTGCTCCAGCACGTAGAGCTTGTCGAGATCCGGTAGGTAGGCGGCTCGCATAAACGCCGCGTCTTTGAAGACAAACGTCGAACCGTTGCAGTCTTCCTTGTGGTTCACGAGTTCGGGCATCTGCTTGCAACCGGCGCATATAACCAGCACGTACAACTCGAGTGGGAACACTGTCAAGTAGATATCGTAATCTAGGACCAACACGTTCGTGGACCGCCCTATCTTTATGACGTATTTTTCGCCCCGGTCGTCGACGTATGAATAATAATGAAACATTTTTCTTTGTATATTTCGTCACCCACCCTATATAAAGACGCCGGCATCACACATAGTGGGTATAGAATGACGACCGATGAAGTTATGTTTTACAAATACCACATCGTGGAATCCAAGGGTTCCGGCTCTTTCGGAAAAGTTTTCTCTGCCCTGAACAAGAACACTGGCAAGAGGGTCGTCATAAAGAACGTTCCGATATCCTACGACAAAGAGTGGGGCCACGACTTTCTCTTTACAAACAAGATGTGCGAGATTGACGTCATCGAGCACCTATGTGCGAGGGGAGTCGACGACGTACCTCGACTGTTGGACTACGGTTACTTTCGCTGGAACAAGGAGGAGATTGGCTACATGGTAATGGAAGACACGGATTCTAGAGATCTCTTTCAATGTATCCACGGTCCGAACAAGATGTCTTTCCACGACGAGGCCGACATTATGCGAATCTTTACCAGAATCCTGCGCTGCGTCTACACTGCCGCCGCCTCGGCCGGAGTCTACCACGGAGACCTCAAGACGGGCAACGTGATTGTCGATGCAACCCTGCAAAACGTCCAGGTGATCGACTGGGGCTCGGTGCATCTCGTCGGCAATAAGAAACCGAGGCACAGGACCTGCACTACGGAGTATTCGTCGCCCGAATCGCTGGTCGCGGAATCAAGTATGGAAGGCTACGACCCAGAACTTCTCTTGGTGTGGAGTTTGGGCGCCGTACTGTACGAACTCGCGGTCGGAGTCATGCTGCACGAAAAGAAGGACTTTATCGACTATTGCAAGATTGGGCTTTATTACGCGTGTACAACGAATGTGTCGTCGTCGTCGAGGGTCCCCTCTTTTCAGAAAAAACTTAATGCAAAATTAGACGCCACCGTGAAATCTGTCAAAATTAACCGCATGTTGCGACGCATGCTAAACGCAAATCCTAACGAACGTTGCCGATTGGAGGAAATGTTTGAGTTTATCGAATAAACCCTCCTCACCATCTCGCCCTCTCTCTCTCTCTCTCTCTCTCTCATCCATTCTTTTTAAGCCGACTAGTAGTCGACTCGCCAGTAGTTCCTGCAGACCTACGGCGCAAAGATGTCTTACCCTGACAAATTGTATCCTCGAGATTACAAGGTTCTCTCGATCATCGACTACGACCCGGTCTCCATCCGCTACGACGCAGTCCACGCGTCGAGTGGCGTGCGAACTACTCTTCACGTCGGCTTCGCGTCAAAGATGATTGCATCCTGGGACGTCGAGGGCATCGCCACGGGGGTGCCGACGGAGGTTAGCTTATCCTTTAGACTCGCCGACATACAAGGCCTGCCACGGATCTTTGGTTACGGCAGGATATCGGCCGACGTCGTCTTTTACGCGACTCTCTCGTACAACTACATAACCGTCAAGACGCTAGTGGACGCCGGTGCCTACCTCAACTGGGACCGCTGCGAGTGCTTTCGGCAAGTGTTTTACTGCGTCTACGAGTGCGCCAAGCGAGGGGTATACCACACGTCCCTGAGTTTGCACTGCGTCTTTTTCAACGAAAACCAATACCAAGTGGGTGGTTGGCAATTTGGCGACGTATCGGACGTGTCCGGAGCGACGAAGACGGAGGTGTTCACTGCCTGCAACAAGGACAGTCTATCGCCGGAGGCCCATCGCAGGGACAAGTACGCAGAGATGGACTATTGTCCGGAAAAGCAGCTCGTCTGGAGCCTCGGCATCTTTCTTTACTCGCTGTACCTGTCGAGCATTCCTTTTGAGCGGAGCGAGCTCGAGTGTGTAGGCAACCTCGTCCGCAACGTTATGTACAACAAGGTCAAGAGAGAAGTTACCATAATTCAAGACCTACAGTCGAGACTGGTCGAGAACACCTGCAACCTGCCCAGAGACGTGCGGATGCTGATTTGGAAGTGCCTGGCCTTCTTTCCAGAGAAGCGACAGAGTCTAGAAACGACGAAATATTTCGTCGACAGAATGACCTTGGAAAAATAAAGTACGTTTCTCGCATTTTTGTATATCTTCATTTCGTACGACGATGGGGGTAGACGCGATGGAAGCCCTGGTAGTGACCGATTATATGGACAAGTTGTTTGAGGCAAACCGAATAGAGCTATCGAGGCAAATATACGGCAACGAACAGTTAGAGAGGTTGGTCGCGGCTACGAACGCCGACTTCCCCACACCGTCCGAGCACATCGAGACCGTGGTAGCCAAGAGGCTCCGCCATTTTTACACTAACGATACAGAGAGCCCCGACGACCCAGACTATCTGGTTTCGCTATACGACGTGCTCAATGCGTGCATACAGATGTGGAAGAAGCACGTGCTTCCCGAAACCCACTTTCCCACGTTATTTAACGTAGAGAACGCAGTTGGCGACTGCGGCTACGTTGTGGTCACGCTGCCGTCGTGTGACAATTGGCTCGTGCACGAGTGTTTGCTGGGGGAAGAGGCGTTTGTTCGCGACAAGTCGACTGACGTCGGATATCACGGAACGTGCTGGGGCAAGAGCGTCTTTCGCAGGATGCTGAGCATTTGTGTAAAACCGCACCAAGTCGCACTCGGCGCGTTGCTGCGCGACAGACTATCGAACGCGGACGATGTCGCCAATACATTGGAGGTATCGCCTCGCGTACTTCGTTACGCCTTCAAGTACCTGCCCTTTCAGGTCCAACGCGACGTATATAACCGCGTCACTCATCGAGTCCTCGATTACCTGGATCGGAGGGTTCCGGAAGAGATTAGACAGCTGGGCGAGGACCCCGTTCACCTGATACGCATGCAGGAATTGGCGATTCCGACGAGAGACGTGGTCGTCAACCAATACGAGTATTGCTGATGGATCCCTGCTTTACTTCGACCGAACGAAGGGGACGTTTGGCCAGCTTCGCCGAAGAGATTACAAAGTGCGGCGAAGACGACGTGTTTGTAAATTACTTTAGAGCACCCACTGGTGAAATTCGAGATATAATACAAAGACGACTCGGACACGTGTATCGCGGAACGTTCGAGGAAGCTCGTGAAGTATTCGAAGACTATGTCCCCTCGACGCACGAGCTTGTCGTCGGACTCGTAGAATACTGGAAGGAGAGGGTGTTGCCAACGCTCGACGCGTCGGACTTTGCCAGGATGCTCAAGCCCGAGAATGTGCTTCCGCAAGACGTTGCAGCACACGTCCTGGTGACGCTACCTTTCTGCGAAAATTGGCTCGTTTACAATCGGATGCTCGGTCTCGAAGCAGCCACCACCTCATCCGAAAACATTGGCGTCATCAGCGAGTGGAACGCGAACCTGGAGCGCAGCCTACTCCGGTATTGTCTCCGACCGTACGGCGTGCGCATGAGCATCGCACTTCGAAAGTACCTACAAGTTAGCGAAGATTTTGACAGAGACTTTGGTTGGCGGGACTACGAACCGTCCCACGTGATATACGCCAAAAAATATCTCCCTTTCAAAATACAGTACACACTCTACTTTGCGTCGCACAAACACAGGGCGTTTGTGGACTTTGTTAAACGAGTACCTCGCGAGATTCGCTCAGTCGGAGAAGATCCCAGAGAACTCGTTCGATTCGACGAGGGGTTTGCAATGGCGTCCAAGGACGTTGTCGTTACCTATCCCGAGCACATAGACTACGAGAGATACGTGGAAGAGGACTGCCGCGGTACCGACGAGTAATAAACACTTTACTAGTGGTCGTGTGTGAATTTGTCTTTATTATACTCTAAGTGTACGGCGACGTTGTTTCGCCGCAAAAAAGAGGTCGGCTACACATTCCTTGATTGTTTTTGTTCCGAATAAGAGATCTTGGTCTGGTAGGAGAAAAAGGGCCACGTCGTCAACTTCGTCGATGATCCTACACGCCAAGTATCTACTGTTTGTGGAACGGTATCTCGGAACGTGTATGTGAACCGGGAGCATATGCACCGACTCCCCTTTCGAACTGTAGTCGTCCATGGACACGACTCTGTCACCGCCTCTATCTCGGGCCTTTGAGTAAGCGACGACGTCCTTTTCGAGCTGCTTCTCTCGCCACCAGCTCGTGACGGCAAAGGCACACAGGCTAGGTTCCCTTTGGCGGACCACGCAAAAACCAGTCCCCTCGCAGTAGCATTCGTAGCCCGGGTCAATCGAGTACACGACCAGACAGGTGGTACAGGCGTCGTCGTCCCGGATCACGTACACGGTCCACATGCCTAAATGCGTCAGGTACTTGGGGACGTCTCCTATGGCGTTGAGGAATCGCACAGAGTCCGCCGTGTACTTCATCTTACCTTTGAGCGGAAGACAAGTCGCCAGACTAGACACCTTGTACCTGAAATCGAGGTAATCGCGACTCGTGGGTGCCGCCGGCGAAACGCAAATTACGCGCACGCCGTTTGAGCGACACCACAGGCGCTTACACCAGTCGTTGTTGAGCGAAGCGATCGTGGGTTTCCTCTTAATCTTTTTGCAGTAGTAGTGGTACGGTCCGTTGTACTCGAAGGCCACGCGGCTTCCCTTTCGGTCGCACATTGCGTCTATCCGCAGCGACCTACTTCTTTTCTTGTCGGCGATCGCCGATGTAGTGGTAAACATTCGGTCGACGGTCAGGTCATCATGCGAGTACTGATCCGAAACGTTCCAACCGAGAGAGCGCAGATGAGCCACCATCCGCTTCTCCTTGTATCTAGAAAACATTGGCCTTTTTCCAAAAGAGCGTGGCCTGGTCCACTCTGTCGAGTATTCGAGCCGCCAAGTACCTCGCCAGAGTCTTTTCGTTCTTGAAGAGAAACGTCGGCACGTGGAACACTCGTGGAGTTTTTATATTTTCCAACGGCATGGATTGCCAGAAACGCACCTCTATATAGCCGTACTCGTCGCTAGAGCCTTCGTCGTACGCGTGCAGGTAGGCGTTCGTGGCCGGATCAAACACGTGCTCCCTCCTGATCCGGTAGCGTAACGTGTATTCCTGGGTCAGTTCGTTCGACTCTGTTACCTCTAATGTCCTTCCCGCGTCTTCAAAGAGCCTTGGCAATTCTCGGTCGACTAGGTAGGCGTAGTTGAAGGTGACCCTTGACTCAGCGTGGCTATCACTCTTTAATGGTGTCAAGGTCGTGTCCGTCAATAGACGAAAGTATATATAACGCTCCAATTGAGTTTTTGACACGACACACGGTACCACTATTTGATCGTATCCGTTTAATCGACACCACCTGCGCTTTAAAACGTCGTTGCGCGTGCGCTGCCAGTTGTCGACGGCGTAGTGGTACGGACCGTTGTATTCCACCATTAGTTTGAGGCCGGCGGAAGCGGCGTCGGCCCTATATGGCGGAGCGTTCTTCAAGTACGGGTTGCAAAAACCTGGAAACGTAACCTCTCGTAGAAATAATCGACCGGTAAGTCGAATCAGTATTATTGCCACGTCCTCGTTTATGCTCCTGTCTAGCGTTTTGTCGTATTTGATTTCCATTGTTTTAAACAAAGAGAGAAGGAACGTCCACTATGGTTCTGTCGCGACCGCGAGAATGTAGCAATTTTATTTTGTGTCCAGATTTGCAATTCGTTACGTACAGATTTATTATGGGGTCTCCCGAGCTGGCCACTACGGCCCGCGAAACGGGCTTCCAGTGGTCTGCCGTCAACATGTCGCCCTGGTTGGAGTAGACTCTCCTTTTTGCGTCTACTAGAAGGTTGAAGGACGTTTCGGAGGGGACCCAGACGTACTTTCCAAACTGCCGTAGTACGCACCAGGTTGAATGATTTTTTGTTTTTCGAGATGAAGAGACGGGTCGAAGTCCGAGTTTGCGAGCAAAGGCTCTTCTTTGACAATACGGAACGTTTGTGAGCGAATACCCAAGATACAACCAAGAATCGAGGACACATATCCGATCGCCGTGGTGATCCCAGAAACCGGGAAATATGGAGAGTACCAGGGGCGCGTCGTCTCGAAGACTAAAGCTAACGTCGGGGTGCTCGGAAACGAAGCTTCTGGTGGGAAGGGAGCTTTCAATAGGGACCTGATACCACATGCAGTAGGCTTTGCGTTCGTTACCCCCTCGTGGATACGTCTCTGACACGACAAAGAGGTAGCCGAACGACGCGTGTGTAGGGACGTAGACCGTCGTGTTGCGTCTGTCGCGGCAACATTGAACGCAACCCATAGTCGCGTGCCGACTTCCGTCCACTATTTTCATGAAGGACATCACGTACTGGGGGAAATTGTACAACAGGTCCCCGAACGTTATCGCGTTCATTTTCTTCCTAGAAGGCATTATCCTTTCTTTAATTGAACGGGTTATATATAGAAGACGCCATTACACGATTTTTCTTTATGCTGGTCGGGACGTAGACGTGTTCTTCTTCCTCTTCAACGTTTCCAGAAGGGACATAACGATTGTCCAATACCGGCATCTCTAGTTTTGCGAGCGATTTGGATAACTGGAGGAAGTCTACCTGTAATGCCTTGTCCACCATTGTTGGAGCGGGTGCCTGTGCGTAATACTCTACCGCGGGTACTTTTGTCACGTCGCTTACACTCGAGGTCTCGCATTCGTGGAGGAGTCGCTCGATGTATTCCTTGCAGATAAATTCTCCCTGGACGACGTTGTTTAGGCTCTTGTCGATGGGACGGAGGGAGACGTTACTCGGCTGTAGGTTTTGGAGTCGCGAGTGGAGGTGAAATAAACTAGCCTTCGGTAGTATGGAGAAGAGAGCGTGGTGTTGGTTTGTTTTGTATGCAGCGTACACGAATGATACGAAGCGCGTGGACTTAAAAAATAGTGTCATCCAGTTGGAAGGGACCGGCGAGCAGAGTTGAGCCAGGTTGCTGGAAGACCTACGCACCCCCCTGTAAGCCACCACCACCGGTTCCAAGAGCTTGATCACAGGGTGTTTGGCCAGACGTATCCATAGGTCTGGTTCGTACCACTCGCTACTAAAGACGAGACCGTCGTCCAACAGCTTGGTGATGTGCTTGAGTGCTGCCGAACGTGCGTCTCCGAGATCTGTCT